AAACAAAATTTGTAGAGAATTTTGTATTCTACAATATTGATAATAAATACAAATAGCAAAAAACCCATAGGAAATGAGATATTTCCAAAAAAAGCGCAAAAAACCGATTTTTGTGACCTTTGACCTTGAAATCTAATAGTTGCTTACACCCTACCATATGTAGGTTTTGAGACAACATTTAGGGCGTCAATATACAAGTATTTACAGACTTACAGCTGGGTATCTCGAATTCCGAGGTGAACTTACTATAATGACTGGACTAAATACCAAAAAATAATAATCCAGTTGAATTGAAAGATCTGCGGGCCATCAGCATCCTTCCTGCTCACTCTAAAGTAATAGAAAAAATCATAGAACAACAGCTTCGCTCATACTTAGATAGTAATAAAATACTACCAACAGCTCTAGTGAAGGTGAAAGATGATATTTTCAAAGCGAGTGACGGAAATCAATGTACCGTCCTGGCTCTTCAAGATTTCAGCAGGGTATTTGACACCATCAATCATGAGCCGTTATTGTCGATCTTACACTACATTATCTTGTCAGATGATTCAGTTCTTTTTTTTTTCGAAACTATCTACAGAACATACACCAGGAAGTTGTTCTGGATGGAGTACATTCCACAGCTTCGAATTTAAAGACGGGCGTTACTCGGGGATCAATTCTTGGCCCTCTCCTATTTACGATATACACCAGTCAATTAGTTAACAGCCTTCAGTACTGCAGTGTACATCTTAATGCCGATGACACCCAAATATATTATTCTTTTGAACCACACAGGGTAGATGACGTTAATAGGCAGATCAGTCAGGATCTTGACACATTCTCTTGCTGAAAATATGTGCTTGATGAATAATACATCTGAATCGAAAATACTAATATTCGGTTCAGGGATACTGTAAAACAACAACTCAATATTAGTATAGGCTCTAATGGATTGGAAATTGTGAAGGAAGCAAAAAATCTTGATTTTTCGATCACTTCACAATTTCCAATCTACAATTTGATTCCCATTTGAATAAACTAATCCAGAAATGCTACCTCTCACTCAAGCTGATTTACGGAAATCTAAAATTTCTCCATAAAAACGCAAGAATAACTCTATGTGGGTAATGACATTAGGCCGTAGGTGCCACTGGATATTATATCATATTTCCCCCAATAAAGACCATAATTATTANACTGAGACGTTTTCAAGGCAAATCATTATTATTTTTTAATTTAACCGACTTTCATATCACGAACACAATGAGGAAAGTGAATTCTGGCTATTTATCCAAATTACGAACCAAAATTAGAATAAATATAAACAGAAGTTGAAACATTTCAATTGTTACATGGGAATGTCATCATGAATAATGAATCCAAACAGAATTGTTTCTCTGTATATAACTGGTAATGCAAAAAAGAGATCGCACGTCAGAAGGTGAGACATTGTTAATCTCTATCTCTCCAACTACCAGCTTTCATCTGTGGATGATGTTTGCATATGACGAACAATATTTTTTATCAATAAAAACCATCGAATGTGATAGGCTCAGTATAAAAATGATCTTATTGTGTTGTAATTTCATTCTTCCTTATTAAAGGCATCATCAAGTTTTGTGAAGACTTTTTCCGACTGTGTGGAAAGCAGCATTGGTAACTCCAATACCAAAAAATAATAATCCAGTTGAATTGAAAGATCTGCGGGCCATCAGCATACTTCCTGCTCACTCTAAAATAATAGTAAAAATCATAGAACAACAGCTTCCTGGAACATACGTCCTGGATGAATTCAAAACTAGAGTCCCCAAAAAGTATATAATAAGTTAATCTACATTTCAAAATAAATTCACATTCAGAATATTTCAATTTTCTTCCACTGTGTGAAAAACAGATACACTCAAAAGTATATCCTCTTCTATTGAGTCCACTTCGGATTTGCGTGAATCATGATTTTAACAGGGTTTCCGATGCGATCTCTGGCAGTTTCAAACGCTTTCACGGTATCTTCCAACCGAAAATGATGTGTGATAAGCGGTTTCACATTCACCCTGCCTGTTCTCACCATCTCTATCGCTTGCTGATAGTCGTTCGCGTACCTGAAAGATCCCTTGAGCTTAACCTCTTTGAACATCGCTGCTGTTAGTGGTAGAGTCATTTCCGTCTCGCCCATACCGACAATAACTACTACACCGCCAGCTCTAGCAACATTTAGCGCGATGCGGCAACACATTTGATTGCCAGTACAGTCGAAGCAAGCGTGAGGTTCATCACCAAGGCATTGCTTGATTTTATCGCTGATGGAATCCTCGGACATGCCGGTGTCCACTTTGAGCGTAGAGTCAGCTCCCATCTGCTTGGCCAGCTGCAGTCTTTCCTCGCGAACATCTAGAATCATGACTTTGGAGGCTCCCATAGCTTTGGCTGTCACTAGAGTCGAGAGCCCAATGGGCCCCGACCCAAAAATCAAGCACACATCACCTATCTTCACCTCAGCCTGCTTACAAGCGTGTACGCCCACCGCAAGAGGCTCCATGAGCGTGCCTTCTTCCAAATCCATATTGCAAGGGAGTTTGAAACAAAAGTCTTCATCCTGGCAGTAAAACCTGCTGAGGTTTCCGTCAATTGGGGGAGTGGCGCAGAATGTCATGTCAGGGCATAGATGGTACTTTCCAATTTTGCAGAGATAACACTGGCGGCAGGGGACACCGGGTTCTATAGCGACTCTGTCTCCTGGTTTGAGAGTCTTCACGTTCTCGCCACATTTAACTACGGTTCCGGAAGCTTCGTGGCCGATCACCATGGGGTTCTCTACGACGAAGGGTCCGACTTTACCGTGTTCGTAGTAATGCACGTCGGAGCCACATATCCCGACAACTTCCATCTGTAGAAGGACTTGATTGCACTTTGGTTCGGGTATGGGTCTTTGCTCTAATCGTATGTCGTTGATTTTATATAGAACAGCGGTGAGATTATCCCCGGTAGTCATTTCGTCAGTTTTTCTAATATATACTTAGAGTATCACCATAGAAGATGTGGTATGTTAACTGGAATTTTGCTTGTAACCCAAAAATATTATTTGAGTCAATTTGACATTTCAATGCTTGCAATACACTTCATTATTGACACTTAGTATTGTCATATTTCAATTCTTGGTTAACCAATAGTTCATGATTCATAACTAATGCAGGACCATAGGTAGGTGCTGGACAGATGTGCCTCCTCCAAAAGAATTTTGACAAGGTTTTCCATATGGATATTTTTCAAAATTTAGGTTGAAAGAAGAGTATCCGAGTATCCGTCATTGAGACATATTAGGTTGCAAAACTTAGATAATAAGAAGGATAAAATGTAATATAATATATACCTTTTCATCGGTGGGGGAAGCAGCTATANNNGGAATATAACAAGCAAATTATTACAATCTCAAAACGATGAGCAGCCACAGTCCGTCGCGTATTTCTGATATATACCGCTCTTGGTGGAATCAGATGTGCCAAGTCACTTGAACACCTCCCGTGAAAGAATTTATAGAAGAAAGGCAATTCTCCAACCTTTCTTCGATGTTCCAGGCTATCAAGGTTGCACGTGATGTTCGCGTCTCCAATCAGATGGATGGCTCTTTTCTGGATGGGATCCAGCAACTTCAGGGTGTGTTTGACAGAGCTCCATACATGAGAATAATACTGCAGAGAAAGTCTGATCTGAGCTTTATAAAGCATCAAAAGTTGTTGAGGTGTGTACAGTTTTCTGGTTCGGAACAGTATTCCAAACTTTTGAGAACCAGTCTTTGCAATTCCAGCGACATGATTGCTAAAAAATATTGTTATCCATTTTAACCCCCAGCAAACTTATCGAAGCAGAAAGCAGGATTGTCTGACCTGACATTAATATATCCGTTTCGGAGACATTTATCTTCTTGGGGAAAACCGATGCCTGGGTTTTTGTAGCATTGAATTGAACCTGGTTACTTTTACCCCAATTCGATCCTCATTAAGATTTGCAACCTCCTACTGCCGGTGAAGATGTGCCTCCGGGGCCAATGTCCTGGAATCAGCAAAGCAATATATTGGATTAATGGTTTTCTCCAATAAGTCGTTGATATACAATAAAAAGAGGGTTGGAGGCAATATGGATCTCTGAGAAACACCAGTGTAGATGGTGAAAGAATTCGTGACTTTAAAAGGACTTTAAAAGGATTCTTCACTATTATTTCTCTACCTCTCTCTCTCTCTCTCTCTCTCTCTCTCTCTCTCTCTCTCTCTCTCTCTCTCTCTGGTGATCTTCAGTATCTTGAAATGTCAGTGGTTATTAAATCGATGATTGTTAAATTAGTGGTTCCTACAGAACCCTCTGTTTGTTCAAGACTATTTAATTTTTATTACATTCAATGTAGAAGATATGACTCAATCTGAATATGCATTTGAGAAGAATGCGTTAAGCACCGCTCCATCGAAACATACCTATTGATTTCGCTATTTTTTGCTGTCATTGACATCGACTACATTGTTCATTAGCATCGATGTCCTGAATAGGCAATATTAATAATTTCCCAAGCCACCTAAGGAGCATCATGGCTATTAGCAGTCCATCAGCCATATAACGTTGCAGAATTATCCCAGCTTCAATTAGACAAATTCTCTCGAGAAAAATATCTGGTCGTGGTTGGGACCGAACTCACGACCTTCCGGTCGTGAGTCGGGCGCACTACCCCAATTTACCGCTGGTTTCTCTATGTTGATGACACTTTTGTTATTTAAAGGCACGTGGAACAAGCATTAGAACAGTTTCTACAACACATCAACTCCGTTCATCCTAACTTCCAGTTTATCATGGAAAAGGCAAACAAAGAAAAGATAGCATTTTTGGGTGTACTGATCAACAGAAAAACTGACGGAAAACTAGGTCACAAAGTTCATCGCAAACCCACTCATACTGATCGATATCTCAGTAAGAACTCAAAATCTCAAATTTGTGAGCCACATCTTCTTGAAGAAGAACTTCGTCATCTAGATCAAGCTCTACAGATATATGGTTTCGAGAAATCAAACGTGCTCTACATCCTTACGGATGTAGTTTCCTTACGGAAACAAAGCCACGGACTACATCGAGAAATTGGTTGAGAGCCTCAACCTCATGACCATTGACAAACCAACTAATGAACTACGAACACTTTTAGAGTCGCCAAGGACAAAAGAGAGCATCTTGCATCCGCTGGTGTTTTCAGAATTCATTGTTCCTATAGCTCAGTTAACATCGGAACAACCAAACACAGCATCAACACCAGGATACAAGAACACAGGGGTAACCGCCGCTCCACACAACCCTAATTGCAGAATATGTCCTTGTAGAAACCGGTCACGTGGTAGAATTCGAAGAAACTTCCCAATCAAAAAATATCCTAGTAACAATGCAGACCAATCACAATGACCCAACAAAGGTACGGAGTTCAGGAGTGAAAACTTAGCTCGCTATAGTCTGTTGTTGCTGAGACTTTGAGATATATTCTTCGTCCTCGCAGTCAACGCGCATACCACTGATGATGTCTGAAGCAGTAGCAGAAGAAACGTTTGTTACTTCACATTCCATTCGACCACGGCCTGCCGGCACGAATTCGAATCAGTCATGTTCTCTTTTCGAAATTCTCTAGGGGATTGCTAACAAAAAGTCGTAATTGAGTGGTTTTTCTTATAATGTTATCCGTATTTGCTACTGAAGAGCCGATAAGGAAAGTGTCTTACTGCGAAACATCGGATGTCTAGCAGTGAGGATGGATGACAATTTTCCATGTAAGTGAAATGTCACTTCTTACATTAGGTATATTGTGTAGGAATCCTGTGAATGGTATCTGATTCGATCCCATTACGTATGTTTGGAATACAATCGGAATAGAGAAAAGTGTTTTTAGAACAATTCAATCTTAACTCTGTTATGCAGACGCAGGTTGAACGATCGATTTCCACTTGCTGTAGTTCATCCCGTGTTTGGAATCACACTCAAAAGGTAAGACCTCGTTAGTCCTTAGCTCACACAAGTTTCGACTTCTGAGGGTTATCGTTCGTAGGAGTGCGACAGCTGGTTAACGAAAAAAAATATTTCAAACCTAATATTTAAACATATTCAAAGTAAAAAAAAATATAATAATAAAAATAGCGTTTATATGACACAGTGTCCCAGCAAATATTAGCAATTCAATTATACATATCAGAACACTATTTCATTCAGATACAAAAGAAAATTAATTTCATATAAAACAAAAAATTAAATGAAAATGAAGTATAAATCATCAATAATTTTCCATAACTCACAAATGTGCACGATATTTATTTTTCAGCTCGCATATACTTCAATAAAAAATATAACATGTTGTAGACAGCTGATTTGCAGTACTGCACATCAAATTCACTAATGATTTCAACTATAAATTGGTTTAAGCTCTTTTGCACAAAAAAGTGGTATAATTTCTTGATGTTGGTCTTGGTACAAGAAAATCCATTGCAAAAAGTTATTCCGGAGAATCAATTCTACCATTGAATTAAAAAAAGAGAGGCTTATTTTTTCTTTTTTCAAGAGACACGAGATCAAATATTCGCAATAGTTCAGTTCTGGTACAGTTATCTTAATCGCTAACAGAGAGGTATAACTTCAAATCATCTGCAAACATTAATCTAATGCAGTATAATGTGTTACATAAATCATTTATCAAAAGTACGGAGAGTAATGGTCCAAGAATAGATCCTTGAGGGACTCCAACATTGGCAAAATGAATATTTGAAGTGAAACCATCATAGTAAACATACTGCTTCCTTTGATCAAGATATGATTCCAAAAGATGAATATACATTTTATTGAAACCCACACTGCAAAAATAAAAGTGTGAAATTACATAAAAAACGCTGAAAACGTTGTCAACGTTATATTATGTACTTTCAAATTCGGTGTGATACAAACTTGATGTGAATTTTGTTACATGATAATTTATGTGAAAATACTCATCAAACTCGCAATATCATAAAATTACGTAAGTTTTCATGGAATTACACAAAAAATATGAATTTACGAATAGAATTTCATTGTAAGGGGTTGAATTTTGTATAAGTACATTGTAAATGATTAAATTTCAAAAATTTCAGTTTGATATGTAATTTTACTTTCTCCTACTGAAGTTCTATTAAACACAAAAGGAATAAAATTTTCATAACTTTCATTGAGTGTCCATCAACTGGAGAAACTGATTCCTACTTCTCAACTTCTAAAATGAGATTTAATAAGAAATGCTATTAAAAAACCAGCAGGATCTTCATTCCACTGTTTAATCGATAATAATAAAATATTCAACTAACCTTTAATAGTATGAATTAACCTAGAAAAACAGCATGAAGTATATTACATCCAGTAAGGCAATATACATTCCAAAATGTATTTTGTAAGNTTTTTTTTTCTATTTTATTTTATTATATTATAATATTCATTCATTTTCTCAAATTGTAACTTTGTAATAATATGGATCGATATACTTTTTTTAACATACCTGTAAAAGCTTTGAAGAAGTCTGTTCACCAGTTTCGCTCTGGCTGCGTAATCTACCACTTGTGGTGCTTTTAGTTATTGCCAATTCGAAAAATGGCTTTATGATTTCACGCGCTTTTCATCGGCAGCTGTTCCACGCCGCCGTCATGAATTTTTCATGAGAAGCACTCTGTTGCAGGAGTGTTTCTATTTTCCACTCAGGAAGCCAACGTGTTATTACTTCATAGCAAAGTTTGTACTAAGCTACTAATTCCCGGTTCATTTATCCATTTGCTGAATTATGAATATGTTTCGGCTCCCTGAAATATGTTATTCATGAAATGAAAATTCCTTCAAAATAAGCAGCTGAGCTGCAGAAATAACAGAACTAACACATGAGCTGAAAAGTCCCGGGATTAAGGAAGAAAACGCGGTTTTTTGTGGTTCAAAATTGGCTCAAATCTCCAACATGATCTCCACAAAGAGCCACACAGTCATTACAGGGCTGCTTTAACATTTCCATACCACTTTTGTAGAATGAAATTTCTTACCGGTGAGCATTTTCTTGAGGTCTGAGAATAGCAAAAAGTCGCTGAGAGGCAGATCTGGAGAATACGATGGTTGCG